TGACCAGTTATCAGTTGTAATGTACTAGTTAAAAAAGACATCTCTGAAATTAAAAAAAAAAAAAAATTTGTGCAAGACAAAGAGAGAGAGAAAATTACCCAAAGCTGGAAGATATAAATTTGAACACAGCTGGGAACTGTGAATGGGAAATAAATAAGTAAAACTCTTTGTTGATGTTATGAAAGGTCTTTCACAATGGATCATCAGAAGCTTCAACAATCATGATATGTGCTGATACTAAAGATAGCACAGTGGAGTGGTTCAGAGCATGTGCTCAGGAAATGGACTTCAAAGTTCATATTCCAGCTGTGTAAACCTAGGCAGATTACTTAACTTCTCTGTTTCTGTAGCTCCATCATTTGTAAAATGCAGATTCTACTAATGCTTTCCGAATGTTATGAGAATTAAAGGAGTTAATAAAAATAAAGCACTTAGAAAAGTGGCTAGTGCATAGAAAGAGCTATGTAAAATTTTACTACTATTGTTATTATTGTTCCTGTTATAATTCCTCATCCTAAAACATGGCCTATGACAACAAGAAGAAGGAAAAGTGATGGAGGGCTAACATACTTATATAAGTAAATACTAAGAGCTATGTGGATAAAGATGGCAATGTGGGCCATTCACTACTTTAAATTTAGATCTCTTAAAATTGTACTTTTATAAACTCTTTGCTGTGAGGGTAAACCCACAAAAGAAGAAAGCACAGATTCCTTTGTCCCCACGCCCCCACTTTCCCCTTCTATGTGTGTCCTTGTCAAATTTTGTGATTTATCATTAAGTACAAATTATTATTTAAGTGCATAAAGATCCTTTTGACATAAATTGGGAATCATATAGAAGTTGTTTTAAGAACATAAAACTAGACAATTAGAGTTTCTTTATTACTTGCTTTTGAACTCATAATCTCACTGGAGTTCTTAATTAAGCCGAGTTTGGGAATACAGTTTCCAGATCTTGGTCTAAAGACTTTTTGTTGAAACACCTTCATAATCCTTATTTGAATTTATATTAGTAAGCATTTATATAATCTGTAACTTATAATTCTGAGATAGCTGGTCCTTTTGACTTCTGGGGACATTAAAAGTACGACAAAGTTTCTAGCTCTGAGTACTTACAGATCTTTTTTTCTTTCTTCTTCCTTTTGATAAGACTCATAATAGGATACTTTAGTTTTTGGTTAGTTCCCCTTAGTCTTCTTCACTGTGAAAACTCTTTCCTTCCATTATGATCAATTCAACAAATATTTAACAGTCATCTAATTTTATGAAGGGGTATAAGGTTTATAAAGGAAGTTTCCATGTCTGTCATGTGGCTGCTATAACTCCAGTGCCAACCAAGGTGCGTTGCACATAATGGGTGCTTGAAAAGTATTTCGTAAAGAGATATGAATAAAGATCCTATACTGAAGCAGTGGAGGATAGTAGAACCAGTATAAGTTTTAGATATGTGTTCAAATCTCAGTTTTCCAAATTATTATCTATGTGATCTAAAGCAAGTTGTTTAACAAACTCATTTTTTCTTGTAAATGGAAATATCTATTTCATAAGGATTATGAGAATTTATCAAGATAATAGTTTATTAAAACTCCTCCTGAGTGTATAGTGGGTATCAGGGACCTGCGTTGCAAAATATAGGTCTTTAAACGTTGAGGGGATTGCAATTCCTGTTCTTAAGAAAGTTCCACATAATAATAACGCAGGTCACAGAATATGGACATGTTATGGGTGTTCAGAGTAGGGAGAGATGACTGTATTTGAGGGCATCAGGAAACGAGGTGACATATGAAATAGTCCTTGAAGGAGAGTTAGGATTTCAACAGTTGAAATGTGCAGGCATGTCCAGATTAAACAGAGAACATAAACAGGGAGCAAAAAGGTACTGAGTGTGACTGAAAAAAGGTCAGTTACTCTTTTGGCTGAAATGTAGGGTTGACACAGGAAGTAGTGAGAGATAAACAAGAAATGTGGGGTAGGGCCATATTGGGGTTGCCAATTTCTTTAATTCAACAGACAATGAGCAACTCTTGGTAATTTGGGGGTAGGCCAACGGAATAATAGGATTGGAAGGTGGAAGCACCTAAGCGTGGAGAGACCAGTTAGGAGAGGCTATTGCATTATTTCAGGCAAGAGATAATAAAGGTCTGCAGCAGGGAGGGGTCAGAGGGAAAGCAGACACGACAAAAAAGCAGGCACATTTCAGAGCGAATCGACAGTCTGTGCCTAGTGCCTTGTGCTGTAGGGAGAGAGGGAGAGAAGGGGGGAAGAGAAGGAGGGAGATGGGGGAAGAGGAGGAGGGAGAGAGAAACCCCATGACTGGAGCCATTTACACTATTTACAGGAATGGGTAAATCACAGGAAATTGTCGGTTTGGGTTTCGGAAATGGGTCAGCTTGAGGTTTGGATTGCTCCTTGCTGCCACCTTCCCTTTTGTACATCCTGGTTTTCAGGGCCACCTCCACCTCTCTCCACCAAGTAATTGTGCATTCTATCCTTGACCTGACCCTGCGTTTATCTTCACGCCCCAATTCTGCTCCCTACTACTCCTGGCCATTGTACTCTCACAGCCACAATGACCCCAGCTCAGGTCCTGGGCTGTAGGGACACTCCACCCGCCAGATCCCCTATCGTCTTCGCCTAGGCAGCTTCCATGCGTGCGCCCCCACGGCTCTGTGACCAATAGGCAGGCCCTAGTGCTGGGATTCGACTGGCTATTGGTTGGCTGAGCCATGGTGAGAGATGGTGCGGTGCCCGTTCTCAGCACGGGTGAGAGCTGTGGGCGGTTGTTAAGGCGACCGTTCGTGACGTAGCGCCGTCAGGCCGAGCAAGCCCCAGATGATTGGCTAGATGATCGGACGATCCTTCCTTATTGGTCACAGGCTCGTCCGGCTCCGAGCGTGCGTAGAAGCAAAGGTTTCTTCCGCTCCGCGTCTTCGTTGACTGGAGACGCGTGGAGCGCCAGCTCCCGGGGACTGTGGCCTCTGGTGAGATAGGGAGGTAAGGAGGGCGGCGGTGGGCGGGAGCGGGTTAGGGTTGTGCAGGTGGCGGTTCTCGAGTTCCGTGCGGCCCTGGAAAGGGGCAGCCGGTACCTCCTGCCGACCCGGGGGGAGCTGCGCTGGCGGCTTTGCCCGGGGTGGCGCCCCGGTCCCGCGGGGACTGCGAGGAGACGTCCTTGACGCGCGGCCGGCCGAGTGGCGGCCCGCATCTATGCCGGGGAGCCCGCGGGCCAAGCTGGGCCAGAGGGGCGGGCGGCGGGCCGGCCTCTTCTGGGCTCCCGTCTCCATCGGTGGACCGGCGGGGCGGTGCCGCGTTCGCTGGCCCTGTCCGAAGTCGGCGGTGCTGGCCAAGCAGTCACGATCGTCGGGGCGGAAAGGGTGCCAGGCAGGGTGATCTCGGAGTCCCCTTAATTCGAGGAATGCTGGTGGGCTGTAGGGCAGCCAGGCCCGCAGGTTGGGGAGGGAACGCGAGAAGGTCTATCAGGTGTGGGCGTTCACGCCCAGGCTTGCAGTTATCACTGGGCTCACGCCCTGGCGCTGCTGTTCGTCAGCACCTTAAATGCTGCTGACTTACCCAGAGCCGTGAAAGAACTGTGGATCTGCATAGATGCGTCTGGTTATTTCCAGGAGAAACGGATTGAGAGGATGCAGAGCCCAAGGTAGAGACTTGCCCGAAGACTTCAACGATTCTTCCTCTCCGTCTCCTTCCTCTCCTTCTTTCTTCTTCTTCTTCTTCTTTTTTTTTTTTTTTTGTCAGGGGGCGTGGTCTCCTTGGTGCTGATTGCTGATGTCCTTTAGTCCAAACCTTGTAGGTTTTTCGGAATGTTTGGTTTTGGTATTTTGATAAGGAAGAACGTACCTTGGAGACTCACAAATAGAACAGTCAGTTTTTGCAGTAGGAGGAGGTTGATGTACTTCATCTTAAATGGTCGTTTGAAATTTTTCAGGTCTTTGAGGACATGTCTTCTTAGACTTGGTCCTGAAAAGTCATGGGAAACATCTGTTTCCAGGCCGTACTAAGTAATCGTGTAAAATTTTATCGTCACGCAATGTAGAGAATGTATTTTTTATGTTTGCTTGTGAATTAATTTTTTTATCCGTGCAATGAAAGACATTTTTTGATTTAGAGGTAATCTAGAAAGGCCCAGAGTGTGACAGACTGGATTGTGAGTGCCTGCTTGGTGGCAGTGCCTTTCCAACTTGTGATAAACTTGGCAGTAAAGACAATGGGAGTTAGTAATATGAAGGCTTAAAAATGTGCAAAGATTACATCATTAACATGTGAAAACGGTTGTGTGTGTGGCATAAGTATTTCAAGATGAAGTGTGTGCGCACGCATGTGCACGTGCTCTTTTTATTCTTGTATGATCCAGTTTCTAGGCCATGGATAGATTAACACATCTATATCACTATCTATTTAGGTTGACCATATGAAATTGCTGATATTTGACATTTGACCGTTTTTCCCATACAAAAAATAGCAGTTTCATATGGTTCACTTAATACTTGCCTTTGTTAAAGAACTTTGGAGCTCTAGCTTCATAAGTGAATAAAAAGATATGTGACTTACACAGAGGCACACCATGTCATAGAATTGGGTGTAGAATCCAGGTTTCCTGATTCCAGTGTGAGAATTTTTTTTTTCCATAGGATACTGGGTTGAGCAGCAGAATTCTCTATCCTGTTGGAATAAAAATGACTCAGTACAAGACATGGTTTATTTATTTGTTTGTTTGTTTATTTATTTTTGGCTGCGTTGGGTCTTTGTTGCTACGCATGGGCTTTCTCTACTTGCGGTTGAGCGAGGGCTGCTCTGCGTTGTGGTACGTGGGCTTCTCATTGCGGTGGTTTCTCTTGTTGCAGAGCATCGGCTCTAGGTGCACGGGCTTCAGTAGTTGTGGCTCACGGGCTGAATTCAGTAGTTCTGGTGCACGGGCTTAGTTGCTCCGTGACATGTGGGATCTTCCTGGACCAGGGCTCGAACCTGTGTCCCCTGCATTGGCAGGCGGATTCTTAACCACTGCGCCACCAGGGAAGTCCCCTACATGGTTCTTGCCTTCAAAGAGACAAAACGTACACAGCAATTAATATGAGAACAATGTAAGATAGTGTATAATCAAATACTGGAATGTGTAGCACAGGAAGAGTGCTGAGTGGGAGGAAAGAATCAGAGTAGGATGCCAAAGCATCTTTTTCTGCAGTTGGCCATAGTAGGTGGTTTTTGTAGCATATTGAATTAGAGTTTGGGGATTCAATTTAATTTAAATTATCCATTCTTTTGAATAATCTGTGAAATGTTTGCAGCATACTTCAGTCTGAATAAGCAAGGCATACATTGCCTAACTTGATTTTTTAAACTAAAATTTATTTTTATTGCAGCATGGCCTAAATACTGTACTTTGAATTGGCATGAGCTGTCTATTGCCTGCTAGTGCCACTTGCAACTGCTGATGAAGTTGGAAGATTGGATTCCATGGCATTTAAATGATTTGCAAAAACACAGGGAAATGGAGAGGGTGCTAGTGGGAAATGTGCAATTATAGTTACTTTTGACACACCTTTGTACATTTGGTTACTCATTTTGTATTTCCAAATAGGTGAGGTTCTCTGTGTTTGGAGATGGTTTATGAGATCATGTCACGGGATCACGTGTAAATCTTTTCCGGAATGTTGCAAAGATGACTTTACACCTAGGAAAGAAATGTTCCAGTATTGACAATGCTACCATGAAGCTTTTGAGGGAAAACATAATGTCCCTAATATATAATTATAGATTAATAATGCTAAACCTATTTGTGATCAAATTGGGGTGCCTTCTTGCTAGCAGCTCAGATTTTAATTCAACCGAATAAACTTTTTAATAGTGAAGAATACATTTTCTTGTTAAGGGAATATTCTAAATTGAGGGGGCTTGGGGGGAGAGAGTGTTAGAAACTTTGACCTAGTTTCAAAATGTGTTTTTAGTTAATTCATTTTCTGCAACACTGATGCTAGTTGATCCTTTAGACTAGTTTATAGGGTTTTGTATTTTTGTTTTTAAATATAAGGAAGTTATGTGATAGAAGGCTGTCATGAAAATCTAGGCTCTTATGAGGCTTTTAGTTGAAATGAAGTAGAGTTCAAATCTAAGATATGATTAATATTCTCCAATACTTTAAGTCCAAGTCCCTGCTAATTTAATAGAAAGTATGTTTGTTATTGTTCATTTTCCAGGATAGTATAGGAAATGTATAGCCTCTCTTCCCAACCCCATCCTCCCTTAATATGTTCTCTGAATGCAGAGAACTGGGGGGCTTGAAGTGGGGGAGTTATATCCATATCTTTAAAAAAGTCATCTTTAGGTCTGTTTCAAGGTGTGTCAATAAAATGCATGCTACTGTAGCTTAAGAATTTATTTTTAATTAGCAGGTATTTGTTGAGCAACTGCTATGTATGAATGCAATGTGCTGGAGGATGAAATGAGCAATAGGCCTCAGGGAGGAAGGTTGAAAAAGCCTGAATAAACACAGGCAGATGCATGCCACATTTATACATTTCAGTGACCCGCCCGCCTTTTAAAATTGAGACCCACAATAAGAAATACATGTTATGTCGGAAGCCAGTACAAACACTCATATGTATAATTTCATGAAACGTAATGTTTCAAAAAATAATATCTACCCATACCACATGCCTTACCCACAGCTTTTTTCTCTTTTTCCTTTTATTTTAAAATATTTGTTCTGACTCATAAACTTGATTTCATGATCTCATCGATCCAGTGAAGGGTTGTGACCTGTGGTTTGGAAACCAGGTATCTATTTGGTGGCCTGGTGTGGCTGAAATGTAGAGAATAGAGAACATTGAGTGATGCAGTGAGAGGTGACGCTTAGTAATTGCTTTGGTTTGTAAAAGCATCTCTTATTTTCTTTTCCCTAACACTTTAGATTAATGCTTTATTTTCCTTAATTTGGTTCCTTTTTATTTTCTTTCTTCAATAAATGAATCACTTTCTTAATTATTACCATAAATGTGAGATTCATTTGAATTCTTGATAGTCTGTCAATCAGTGGCCTTAAAATTAAATCTTAATTGATTTTTATGGGTAGTTAATATGCTTTATCATAAGCATTAATTTTAGTGTAAGAAGGCTTGCAAGTTCCTATATTAGAGATTAATAACTATACTAGATTTTTTTTTAAACCAGAATATCAAAATTATTATTACTATTATTTAGCCGGCAAACATGGAAAAGTTTTGCCATGGTAGTCATTAGGTCAAAATAACCCATATTCTGTTGGGAATTTTTCAATGCTGTAGATGTCTACTTTGGCCAGCCATCCTCTTATTCTAGTACTGTTCCAGCATTTTTATTAAATGCTGTTAAAGTTTGGGAAAAGACCTCTGGTGACAGCAACATTGGGCAGGTTTATTAAACATTTTGCTAGTGACATATTATGCCATGTGTTTTATGGAATGGAAAAGTCTAATGGACTCCTGCCCTTGAAGAGCTTTATAAACTAAGATAATGATTTACAGGAGGACACTGAACAAGTAGATTGTTTGGTATTTACCTTTTGCATAACTAGAATGTAGAGAATGAAGAGGGTGCTTATATGCATTTTGTGTCAGGGTAATCAGAAAATAAATGTGAATGGTTGTTTCTCACTTTTGTTTTGTGCTTTATTGCTCTCCTCCCTGCCTCAGATAATAATCGGGCTGAGGTATTATTTGGTTTGATCTTAAATGCTCGAATTCATACAACTGGTAAGAAAAAGCTGCTTTTAAGTTGTTTGTTAGTGAATAATAGAGGATTTAAGTGTTGTGAGTAAAGAAGTAATAACAGTCCTCTTATTTTAATTTTGTAATTATTTTCCAGAATTATAAGGAATACTGTCAAATAGTTTTATTCTTAATATACAAGACGCTGCATACAAATCAGGGTTTACAATGCACTTTTCCTTAAAATGTTTTCCTAAGAATACAGTGAGCTGTATACTAAGTGTTCATACTTGATATTCCTTCCAGGATCCAAGGATTCTTCAGCTACAATGTTGTCAAGACTCTTCCGAATGCATGGCCTCTTTGTGGCTTCCCATCCCTGGGAAGTCATAGTGGGGACAGTGACACTGACCATCTGTATGATGTCCATGAACATGTTTACTGGTAACGATAAGATCTGTGGTTGGAATTATGAATGTCCAAAGTTTGAAGAGGTTTGTGAGATTAATCTGATTATTGACTAAATACATTTTGAATTTCTAAAGAGTGTCTCCTTTTAGAGACCACATAATCAAAAAAACTTATGAGTAAAATTTTTATTTCAGTATTCATAACTTTCATTTACTTATATAGTATGGAAATGCACTGGAATACTTCTCTTTTGCTTTTGGTATACAAATGAGTGTAATTGACTTTACTTGAGAAATATAGCTTTCATAAGTGACTAACAGTGAAAAATGATCGGCTTAAACATTAGATTGTTTAAAAATTAGGAGTAAATTTTTGATTTGCATTGTAATATTTTATTTGACTTGTGCCTAAATTTATACTATCATGATGGTATGTAAACTAATGATGCATGCAAAATAAAAATTCTTATTTTTGATTTGGATTTTTCTTTTCTATCTCTCCCAATAGGATGTCTTGAGCAGTGACATCATAATTCTGACAATAACACGATGCATAGCAATCCTGTATATTTACTTCCAGTTCCAGAATTTACGCCAACTTGGATCAAAATATATTTTGGGTAATAATTTTATATATTAACCTTTTTGTGTGCTATCAAATTTTTGATTTACTGTGGAAATTTACCTGTTTGTTTAAATCGTGTGTGGAAATGTGTGTGCTGCATGTATTCAATACTTTTATTTCTTTTTATTCAAGTTAGACGTTCTGCTATTTGAGACTTCAATAATCTGGAGAAAATAGTATTATTTCTCTCAGAATATCATATGGGACTGTGTGTTATTGTGTGTGTAAAAAAGGCTGAAGTTTTTTCAGTTTGCTGAATTTTGTCATTTTAGGTATTGCTGGACTCTTCACAATTTTCTCAAGTTTTGTATTCAGTACAGTTGTCATTCATTTCTTAGATAAAGAATTGACAGGCTTGAAGTAAGTATTTAAGCATAAATATACTTTCTTTTAAAATATATTGTTAAGAACTGTTCTTCTCTATGATATAAAGCATTATAGTATGTAAATTATCAAAAGTTTATAGAAAATATGGGAAAATTTTTCATGTAATCATATAGCTAATTTTAATACCTGTTAATGTTTTAGTATATATCCTGTCCCATTTTTTTATACTTAAAGAAGACTTCTGAGATCATACTGTATATACTGCTTTATAACTTTTATGCTTTATAATAGTTTATCAACATCTTTGCATGTCCTTAATGCTAAACTAAATTATTTGTAATAGCTGTCTAGTATTCCCCTATCCTCTAGATTGGATTGTTAGGTTATTTAATTTCCCCCATTAATAACAACACTGTGATAAATGTCTTTGTAGCTAAATTTTTGTTTGTATTCATAGTCATTTTCTTAGGATACATTCCTAGCAGTGAAACAGTGGCTGTGTAGGTTTTTAGGGCTTTTAAGTGCTGTTATCGCCAATTTGGTCTCTAGAAAGGTTGTTCAGTTTATTCTTCTATAGATAGTAATTAATGAAAAAAGAATTGCACACAGTATACAGGTTTCCCCTGCTATCCGAAAGTACAGCTTTCCTATGAAACCTTTTGTAAGTGAAGAAGCAATTGCCTTGGGACACATCTTTGAAGGGATGCACACAATAAATCACGGTAAAGCACAGTGCTTACAGACACAGTTCAAAGCTATGGCAGCTCGGTGCTGAGATGCTAAGTGTAGTTCCCAGGCAGTGCCGTTCTCTCTGTCTGCTCCAGGTACCCACTGCCTCTATAACGGTTCCCTGCAAAACAAACACTGAATGCTGTTTTCTCTTTTCACCTTTTTTTGTCAAAGTGAAAACCTTGTTTGGATTTCTTTTGGTTAGCAAAAATGGTTACTATGTAGGTCTTTCATAAAAGTGAAGTGGCGTAAAGCAAACCTTTGAAAAGTGGGGGACACCTGTATTCCTCTTTTTCCCCCATGTTGATTCACAAGGACACATTTTTTTTTTTAAACTAAGGATGATATTTTGCTATAGAATTATCAGAAGGTGTTTCTGTATAAATATATTTACATTTTTAACATTAAAAATATTCTTAAATATTTTGAGTGACTAATATATTTAGCTTTGAGGATGTCAAAGGAATATAGGTTATACCTTTTGTTCTGCAAAGAGGTAACACATGCCAGAGCTCATACAAGGCATGGGACGAGGGGTGGGGGGGGGAATTTTGTTTTAGGAAGGGATTTTTCGGTAATGTTTTTTCTTTTGTTAAATAATACCTGATCATCTTGTTTTCTTTTTTTCTTCCCCCAGTGAAGCTTTGCCCTTCTTCCTACTGCTGATTGACCTTTCCAGAGCAAGTGCACTAGCAAAGTTTGCCCTCAGTTCCAACTCACAGGTATTATTTATAAGACATGAATGTTAGTAGTATCCTTTTTTTCAGATTGTTTACATTAACAGGAAAGATTAATAGAGTTTCTTCACAGTTCAAGATTCAGGAATTGCCTGCAATTTTGTCAAGTCCTAAGACTGGTCTTCCTAGGAGCCCTAGGAACTGTCCCATTTATCTGACAACTCAGTTGTAATTCCACAGCTTCTAGAATTTGGAATCTTCCTATTTTCCTTTTTGAAGTTTTCAGAACGTAAGGTATTATGTCTTTTGGATAAATTGGAGTATCTACCTAGTGAAACATACCAGAGAACAGACAGGATCTAATGGAAGAATCTCAGGGTAGATTGATTTCTAAACCCCGTGAATTAACACTAGCATTATTTCCCATCTAAAGTTTTATCTTGGTGTTCATTAGTCACTTTAAAGAACATAACATTTTTAATAACGCTGAGTAACTGAGTATAAAATATCGTATACTTCTGCCCTGATTATGTATTTGATGAATATTTATGATCATTTGAGCATTTTGACAAGGATATTTAGGTTTCATAATACTAATATGATCTCAGAAAATTTGCAACTAAGAACTTCTGTCAGTGGTAGCCAAAGTATAAAATGTAGGATTTATGTGGGATTTAAATGGCAGGATTAATGCACCACTTCAAAGGACTCTTCCTAAGAAATATCTCGTTCAGTGGACGGGGAAAGCAGGGCAGTGTACATATTCTTCTTTCTTTAGTCCTCTATATTATCCTTTGTATCTGGAATGCCTGTTAGTCTTAGCATATTGTGTATTTTATTCTTAATATAGTAAATTAGGTTTAGTAGAAGCCCTGGGATGCTCTAACATTTTTAAAAGTTACTTTGTACCTTACCCTCATGATATGTTTGGTCTGTGTTTTAGGATGAAGTAAGGGAAAACATTGCTCGTGGGATGGCAATTTTAGGTCCCACATTCACCCTTGATGCTCTTGTAGAATGTCTTGTGATTGGAGTTGGTACCATGTCAGGTTTGTAAACAGTTTTTAATATATTTTAAAATGAGTTTGTAGAAGAGAAAAAGGAATATATTAAATTGTATCAATTACTCTTAAATTCTGACTTTTAAAAGTCTGACATTACTCTTAAAATTTTTTAATTGTATGAATATGTGGGTATATCTGATCTGACCTTATGGCTGTCTGCTTTAGCAAAAACTTAGTAGGTTACCGATTTCTTTTTTTTTTTTTTTTTTACATTAATTAATTATTTTAAATATTTGGCGGCATTAGGTCTTTGTTGCTGTGGGCGGGCTTTCTCTAGTTGCATTGAGCGGGGGCTACTCTTTGTTGCAGTGCGCGGGCTTCTCATTGCAGTGGTTTCTCTTGTTGCGGAGCACGGGCTCTAGGCACGCGGGCTTCAGTAGTTGTGGCATGTGGACTCAGTAGTTGTGGCTCGTGGGCTCTAGAGCACAGGCTCCGTAGTTGTGGCGCACGCTCTTAGTTGCTCTGCAGCGTGTGGGATCTTCCCGGACCAGGGCTTGAAACCATGTCCCCTGCGTTGGCAGGTGGATTCTCAACCGCTGCACCACCAGGGAAGTCCCCTGATTTATTTTCACTCTTACTATCTCATCATCTTTTCCTGTGCTCTACTTTTTTGATGACTTTAAGGTGTTTTTATTTGCTTTTTATTTGGTTTTTAACCAAGATTGTATTCTAGGCTCATTTAGAAAGCATCTGCCATCCTCTGCTGTTGTCTGGACTAAATTAATGACTTGGTTCCTTGTATTTTAATTGTCATGTAGGAGACAGTGCAAAAGTCAGGAGGTGGACAGATCTAAGTTGGGTCCACCTAACTGAGTGGTTAGGAAGATTTAATCAGACAGTATGCAGTACATCTTAGCATTTAGCCAGCACTGACCTCAACACATATGCTTCTTCATCCTTAATTGGATAGTAGAGAATTAGATATTAAATATCAAACACAGGACTCCATTATATAGGACAAAAATTATGGCCTCATATGGAAATTTGCCAGAATGAATATATCATGCTGTTGTCAAGGTTTCCTAATCAACTAAGACTAGATTTTATGGCTTTCTCATGAGGGTCACACTTAGTTAACTACCATTCTAGTGTATTTCCTGGTGCCTTGGTGCCCTTAATAAGGGGTTTCATTCTTTCAGAAGTGTATTATCTAACTTTTAAGAGAGTAGTTAGTGGCTATTATTAGTTGAGGTCTGTTCACTAGATAGTATGTTAAATATATATAATGTTTCTGCTAACTTTCTGAGGGTAAATTTATTATTTATTCAGTTATTTTACCTGTCATTCAAAGTTTATTTAGCAAAGATTTTTTTAAATTATTTTTTTAAATGTACATTTCTTAAAATTTACTTTTTGGGTATAGTTTTGAGTATTGACAAAGATGTAGTCATGTAACTGCCACCACAGTCAAGAAAAAATGTTTTTGATCAGGTGAAAATATACCTATGTGATTTTATACAAGCAGAACAGTATGTAAGAAGATGAGAGGATTAGTTAGGAACTGGTAGTGGGCTGTGAAACCAAGGATTATTCATTGGAAACTGATGTGGAAAGCAGTGGAGACTGATGTGGAAAGTAGGGTGATGAGTTTGGTCATAAGTCAGAGCAGTGGACAAAGGAAGTGATTAGATTTGATATTGGAAAAGCCAGCTAGGAGGCATTTACAGCCATACAGAAATGGTAAAATTAGGGATTTGGCTTAGGGTAGAATAAAAGGACAGATTTAACACATACTAACTAGGAAGTAAACCTTTGGAAAGCCAGTAAAAAAATTTTAAAAAGTCTTTACTTCTTGGAACTTGTAGATTGGTGCTTCCTCCTTGTAGTAAAAAAGTGGCACAAAGAGGCTGCACCACTGGGACAGAGTAAGGAAGAATGCCTGAAGAACCTATGACGACAGTAGTTACTGTTGTACAGAGGGAAAGAGTAGGTAGCCAGGTGGTAAAAAGCAATGGTCAATATGGTTTTGATAGCCTCAAGTTTGAAAAGATTACATTTGGCTACTTTTTAAATATAGGTTGTTCATAATGCTTTTGTCATTGTAATTTTGTATTCTCTTGAATTTCTGCATTTGAGGGTAATAGCTATAGAAAGTTTAGAAAATACAATGTATGCTTTTTTTCTATTATTTAGTCAAATGATCTATTATGATTCAGAAAATAAAATACAACATTGAGGGTTTTTTTGTATTACTCTAGTTAGCAGTCTTTATGGGAGGAGGGAATCAATTTTTATATGTATTTCAAAACATTTTTATATTTAATGTGAATAACATCAGAAATACGTTTCATATTTTATATTCAAGTTTATTTGTAAAGAGAGGGAGTAGGATTTGGTAATCTAATCTTTCCCCAGCTCTGTTCCCTTCTATTTGAGAAGATTACCAAGTGATATCGCAAGCATTTTGTAATGGAACATTTGTTAACTTTGGATCTTGGGTTGCCTTTTTGCATTATATCATTTTTCAAACAGATCAATGAAATGAACCAAAATTGTAAGAACATCAGTAGACACCACAGAGGTTATATTGAAAATAGAGCTGAGTAGTATACATATTTATTAGGATACTATATCAGGAATGGTATAACTAGCAGTGTGTTTTTTACAAAAAGTCCTTGGTCCACAGGTGAATTGCTTTTGTGGTGATGAGTGGGATTGGATCAGTAGTATAATGGGGTGGGAGGAGTTTGCTCCATTAGAGTTGACTGTCCTTGATATCCTATCTCAAAACAGAGTACACCATTTGATCAAAGGGGATGACCAGACGGATATTAAACGCTGCCGTGCCTGGCATTGTGACGTTGGGGACATGGGAGAAGCCAAGGCCGCTGCCCTCGAGGAAGTTATCCTGTGTGTGCTCAGGCTTCACAGCACCTCTGAGTTTCTAATTCTTTTTCCAGTAGATGGCAAAGAGCTTAATATACTAATACTTCCACGTATTTGTCTACCCATAGGAAGAGTCCTTGTGATGTATGCAGCATCAGAAACACACATACTGCTTTACTAGCTGACGCATTTAATTTTTCTCTAACCAGGGGTGCGTCAACTTGAAATTATGTGCTGCTTTGGCTGCATGTCAGTTCTCGCCAACTACTTCGTGTTCATGACTTTCTTCCCAGCGTGTGTGTCCTTGGTTTTAGAGGTAAGAGCAATTCTTACTTATATTAGTAGAAGAGTAATATTTTTCATATTAGTTCACCTAAAGAAAATTAGCACCTTCTAACGTAGTGCTGACTTACTTTGTAGCTTTCTCGGGAAAGCCGCGAGGGTCGTCCAATTTGGCAGCTCAGCCATTTTGCCCGAGTTTTAGAAGAAGAAGAAAATAAACCAAATCCTGTTACTCAGAGGGTTAAGATGATTATGGTAATTATACAGTTTTATTCTTCTTTCATTATTTTTAGTTCCAGTATCATATTCTGCTTTTCAATTTTTTTCCTT